ACACGCATCTTCAGCTTCCTAGCCTACCTTTTTGTTCACTGTATACATGGGGACTTTTTGAAGTTAGTCATGCTGCTGCGAGGTAACTTGAAGACATTGGACTGTGTATTTTTAAACTGAAACAGCCACTGCTTTGACAAGTGACTTGAAGATGGAGTTAATGTCAGAGCTGTCTTTCCAGACGGGCAGGTTTTATAGAGATGATTAGGGCAGAAAAGGCAAAATGTAGCATTGGGCTACTTGTACTTTTGATGGTGCAGTGATGAAAGAAAGCTGGTTCAGTTACAGCCTTTTGTCAGGGCAGAGAGAACACTGAGAAAAGGAGTAAGTAAGTTATGTGCTTGACATTTGTCCCGATGCAAATTACATTAATGATCAAACCACAGAGTGTGAAAGTGTTTCAGCTAAAACACGTTAATGGAGTAGTTTGACCACGGGTGTTGAAGTTAGGTTCTGTGTACTCCAGCCTGCAGCTTAGCACCAGCCTTTATTGAGCAGGATCACGTAATTTGCTGGACATTGTCCTAGACCAGGGGAGAAAGATGAAAAGTCATGTCCTTTCCTGTCAGGGAGTTCACACAAGGTGATAAATACTGACACTATATTTATTGCATAGTGGCTAAGAATCAGACACACTTACTTTCAAATCCTGACTCGTTTCCTAGCTGTGATCTGGGCCAATTGCTTCATATCCTTGAGACTCAGATTCTTCATGTGTGAAACAAGAAACAAACACAAGGGAGAGTAATGATGTAATGACAGTGAAGTCCCTGGTGCAGAGCAAGCGGGAGCTCCTGCCTGCTGCAGTGGAAAGATGTGCTGGATGTTAGGATGGGATGCTAAACTAGTGTGGAAAAGGAGAGTTGGAACCTTATTCCCAGAAGCAGTGCTCGGTTTGAGACTTGGGTAGTAAATTAGGGATTAGATTGAGTGCTGTGCATTTAAAGCAGAAGGAATGTTTACGAAGTATAAGTTTGCTTCTGTTAATTTTGCTTGTGAATATAGAACAATCTTAATAACAAAGTACTTTAAAGATTGTGGTGAGATTGTAAATTTGTGCTTAAAGTAGTAACTAACTGCTTCAAGCGTTTGTTATTAAGGTGCAGAAACATAACAGCTTAAATGGCACCTGAACAATCTGAGGATAAAAAATTATACAAACAGAAGTTTCTTTTCTTCTTTTCTTTGTGCTGGGAATTGAACCCAGGGCCTTGTGCATGCTAGGCAAGTGTTCTCCCACTGAGCCTTCCCCAGCTCAGTGTTTTTTTTAATGCTGAATTTAATGTGTGTTTGTTAATTATTGGGGACTTAATTTTATTGTGTGTCTTAAGAGGGTGTTAGTCAGCTTCGGATCACTGTGACCTGAAAAAACCAATTTGAAGGAGGAAAGCTTTATTTGGGCTCACGGTTTCAGAGATTCCTGTTGGTTGGGGATATAGCTCAGTGGCATAAGCGCCTGCCTGGCAAGCACAGGGTCTTGAGTTCAATTCCCGGTACCAGAGGTTCCTGTCCACAGTGAGCTGGCCTTGTTGCTTTCAGACCTGTGGCAGAGTAGAACATCATAGCAGAAGAGCGTGGTGGAAGGAAGCTGCTCACTTCATGGCAGCCAGGGGGTAGAGGGGAAGAGCCGGAGAGGACGGACATGGGAACAGATAGAGCCCCAAGACCACACCCCCGTGACCCACTCTTTGCAACTAGACCCCACTTCCTGCCTCCATCCCCTTTCTATAATGTCATCAAACTGGGATCCCATTATGGGTGATGACCCATGCAGTTAGGACTCCACCGTCCAGGCGCCTTTGGAAAGCTCTCATTTGGAACGTGTGCAACGTTGGGTGACATTTCAGATCTAAACCGTAATACAGGGCCTGATGTCAAATACCCCCACTTTGGTTTTCGTAATTTCAATTAATTTGATGCAATTTTTCTGTCTTACCCCTTTTTTATGGTCAAATAACCTATGAAAATTAAGGTTGAAATAATTAATAAGACATCCCTTTTGATAATATGGGCTTAATGAAATCGCAGCAATCTGACCAAGTATCTACTAAAGTTATGTGTGTTCAGATGATGATAAATGGGCTTTTATTTCGAGGTGACTTTATAAATAAAGACTGAGACATGCTTTCCTTCAGGTGTTTAAAATAACTACCTCCTTTTTCTTTACTTTTTTTGGGCTCCTTGGCTAATATCACTCTAAACTTCACGAGGCAAAAGCAAATAACAAGAGAATCTCAGCCACCCAGCTGCCACGGTGTCCCAGCAGTTAAGATTTCAGCCCTTACTGTGTAGAGCTAGCAGCCTGCATTATTTTTCCTTACGTTGGCTTTTAGACAGGAAAAAAAATGTCCACTGCCCTGATCATCTTCTAGCAGTGGGAGACATTTCTTTCTAACTGCCTTCAACCTTGAGCTGGTCTGTCAGTGAGAGATTGTTGCCAAACCTGGTGTGCTAATAGGGGGATTTCAGATAGCCCAAGGATTCTAATTTAGAACAGCTCAATCTTGTCTTTGTTTTAAAATATATTACCCTGAGATGCCACATCTGTCCAGACAGGAAGCACATTATTCTTAACCTACCTTCTCTTTAAAGGAAAGCCAAAGGATGTGTTAAATCCAGTTTACTGCACACCTACTTATTATTGTCATCCATAGTTTCTTTATGTTATCATTATGTTTCTGTGTTGTCATTAAACAATCATTTCCCGGAAGTAAAACTTTCACGGCCCTTGTCATTTATAATACCACGACACGAGTGGTGAAGTCTCTCTTGAATAAAGGGATACTGCTCTCAGAGGCATTCTTGCATGGCTCAGGCAGCTAAGTCAACCTAGAGGATCCCTAACTGTTGGGGGATTTGACATCCTGCGGGGAGCTGTCAGTGCCTTCCTGCGGGGAAAGTAGCTGCTGGGATTACTGTGCGGATACCTTCTTTTTGTCTGCTTTGGACCAGGTAGTGAACTGCCTGAAAAGGGTCACTTTCCTGCGTTGCCTTTGAGCAGAAATAATTGTTTTAGATTTAGGTCTTGGCAATTTTTTATGCTCATCTGATGGGTGACAAGCCTACTTCCCTAATGAAGCCTGATGGGAGCCAGGAGCTTTGAGTTCCTATAGGGTTCTGGCCACTGGCCATGTGACAGTCAGTGTTTTCCTTTGCTGATAACTGCTAGATAAGTGGAGGACCTGATGGAAAGAGTAATATAAAAGGGACTTAAAGAAATCTAAATAGCCACATGCTTGCAAGTTCCCTGGCTGTGCTGCTGCAATCACCCATCGCGACAGAGACAGAGCCAAAGAGGTCAGGTGTGAACTTCAAGTCACAACACATGATGGTGGACAGTGCCTTGAGCTGGACCTTTGCAACAGGCTGGGTGAAGTGGAGGAAAAGAAAAAAAAAATCCAGTTGAGCAAAGGCCTGGAATCAAGTCCATAGAGAGCCTGGTAGGCGCATGCAAGGTGGAGACGCAGGGAAAGCAGTGTGTCACAGAATGAACCAGAAGGAGACCCTGGAACATGAGGGCTAGGAAAGAAGGTTCTTAAAATCTAGGCATGAGATGACTGAGGGAATGTGGATGGGGATAGGTGCTCAGGCAGCGGTGGAGAAAGGGACATTTCCAAGGAAAAATCATCAGGGTTTGGTTTATGGGATTATGGAATAGAAGACATCTCAGGGGTTTAACGCTAGGGGATCATTGTCATCCATTTATTCTTAAAATTCTTAGATCAAGACCCATAGCTGCAAAGTTCTCCTCCAGGTATTGGGAATTAAACATGAAGTGGAAGTTCTGCTCTTTGAAATTTCCTTTAAGTGTTAAATATATTAAAAGCTTAGTGGCAACAGTTTAGAGATCTTGGAATGTCATCATCTAGCTCCAGATTCTTTTATAATGTAAAAGTCAAGCGGGACGTGTTGATGAAGACACAGCTAGTGTCTCTGAACCCACAGTATTTTCTTATTTCAGAACTGTAAAGATAAGAATGAAACTGTTACGTGGAAAACGGTGCATTTTACAGAGCAAAGGGAGTGATGCTACTCTAGATCCTTTACCTCATAGTCAACAACTTTCAGAGAATGCCATGGAGTTTGAAACACCTAGGGAGGTGTTGAGTTGTGCAGTTTCTTTTGGGTTAAAAGTAGGTCCATTTAACAACCTGAAGGAAATGAGCTGGGTGATTTGAAAAAAAATCTCTGTGATCTTTCCCTTGGAAAGGCCCTCTTTTCCCCCACCTGTGCATCAGTCCTCATTTATACTTCGCAGCTCATCCCTAGGCTGAACAAGACTTTAAAACTTGATGTCTGTTTGTCAGGTATTTTTGGTCAGCTCAGGTCTGAAGTGGCATTGTCTTACTTTACTTTCAATCTGAGTTTTCTTCACTTTTTTTTAAGGTGAAACAATTTGTTAGACTCGGTAATTCTGTGAAAAAAAGTGTTGCCATGAAAAAGAAAGATATTTGAAAATTGAAGTATGATTTTTCCGTGTTATTTTCAAAGCCTGAATTACAAGAACATTAATTAAAATATGATGCACTTAAATACTCATTTGGTTTGGAAAACTTCCATTTGTTTAGTTGATTAGTTATATTTTATATCATTTTTATGCCATTAATCAGCTGTAACAATAGACATTATTCATAACCCTTAAGGAAAGAAGTAAAGAGGTTTGGGCATAATAGGACTGGCGTATTTTCATGTGCTAAAGGAATTTTCAAAATATCTTTAAGCAGTGATTAAGATCTGACCTACATTTTTTTTTTTAATTTTGCTTTTAGGTTTTTGAGGCAGGGTCTCATTATGTAGTTCAGGCGGGCCTTGAACTCACTGTGTGAACTTGCAGCGATCCTGCCTCACCCTCGTGTGCTGGGATTATTGGCATGCACCATGCCCGGCAAGTTCTGAGCTACTTTAAATGTATTATCTCTAAGGATCTGAATTTCTCAGTTAAAAAAACAATTACATGTCTTTTTCTTAAGGATGATTTGACATTTTTTAAATTCTTTCAGGTAAAAGTGCAGTTTTGAAGTGTCTTCTGGATATCCACAAAATATTTCAGGAAAATGACCCAGCGTACATTCTCAATGACCTCTACATCTCAGATTACTGTGTGTGGATTCAGAAAGCCAAGTAAGTTTATATCACTGAGGAATTTTATACATTCACGTTTTTGAAACAGTACTTTCCAAGAGGAAGAATCTGGGTAGTAAGTTCTAATAAGAAAGAAGCCTCTTTAGCAACCAAACACTGTAGAGTAACTAGACTAGCATGAGAAGCTTGTTGAATTTGTTTAGGGAAGGCAGTGCAGGGAGTTAAAGGTTGATTTTATAAGAAGCAGTTGGTATAGGTATAGACTGGAAAATAGAGCTTCACCAGAAAGTTTTGTGTATTCATTTCTGTATTCTTGCTGTCCGACATGAAGTCTCAAGACAATGTCTGAACCTGGGCCTGCAGTTTATGTTTATAGTGTGGAGTGAGTGTGTGGGGGTTGTACACTCACACTGATGTGTGTAAGCACCGTCAGGTACAAACCCAGTTCCCACGAGAGCCGTGCATTCACTGACCGTCTTCTGGTGTAGGGAGCCCATAGTTCAAATTAAAGAAAACACAACAGTCGGAGCCTGAGAGCATGATTCCTGATCACATGTATTGATACATCTGAGTACTCACATATGGGCTCCAGCACGTGGCATGCCAGATTTCCAAAAGCATTTTTACATTACCTCAATCAAGAAAATGTAGTAGGTTAGCTATGAAGTTTTAAAGCATGGTGAATTTTTTAGTGGAGGAGTTCTGTAGATCTAATTCTTGTCAGACGTGGCCAAGTTACCCATTTCAGTAACAAGAAGTGTTCATTGAGGGCATAGAGCTTTTGATTGGTACACTTCCTGGGTGCTGTAGAAAATGATGGCACAAATCATTCATGACTTACAAGGAAAATAATCGTGATATTTTTATTATTATGGTGATTGGTAAATGAATGCTTTTGTATGGCTTTTGCTATGATTGTTTTGACTCAGCCATTATATAGAGTTTATTTTTAATTTCTGTTCATAGGGAGGTAATTATAGAGTGAAATACGAAAAAAATAACTTGAGGACATACCTGTTGTACGGAAAATGCTTAGGGACAGCTCAAGATATCACCTAATAACGTACAGCAGGTGATGTCAGAGTTTGTGTTGGAAATCTGGGTTTTGCCAGATGGAAAATTGAATCTTTAACCCCCGAGGTCATAATGGCATGTCATCACTTCCTTTGGTCCTCCTGCTAATTGAGCTTTTCAAATATAGTACCCTGCTGCCATTTCCTGATGTTACTTCCATTTTCATTTCAAAATTAAATTGAAATAGTCTATCTTTGTGGGGCTTTTTTGAGGGTAGGGGTTTATAAACATGTAATGAGTATTGAGATTTGTTGCAGGATCCCGTGTCCACGAGCTTATTTTTCTGTTTGTCCCCTTCCTTATTAACAGAGAAGTGGTACACACCTGTAATCCTATCACTTGGGAGGCTGAGGCAGGAGGATCGTTGCGAGTTCGTGGCCAGCCTGGGCTACAAAGTGAGCTCAAGACCAGCCTAAACTGCATAGTGAGATCCTGTCTCAAAAAGACAAAAAACAAAACAAAACAAAACAAAAAACCCAGGAGATCATATTTCATTAAAGTAAAAGGATATATCCTCAAATTGATCTTGGAATTATCAGATTTACTTTCTCTTAAGAATTTTGTTTTGCTCTTGGTTTTAAGTTGTGGGAAGTAGGCAAGATCCTTAGGTTGTTACTAGCTCTGAGGTTAGTAATGTGACTTCGAACAGGAGTGACACAGGTATTGGAGAGAGGTGGGAGAGGGCAACAACCAGGGACTCTTCAGATAGTGCTTTTCAAAGCTGGTTCTTCAGCTTTGACCATTTGAATGTAACTTTCGTTTCTCTAAATGGACTGCATGGTTTTTACTTTGTGTTTTAAGATTTGTTTTTCTCCTCTTTTGAAATAAAATATTTGTTTCTGTAATTTTTATTATCATTTTAAATTTCATAAGTGCAACATGATTGGGCTTTGTGGTGTCATCTTGCTGTGGACGTTGTGAGCTCTGAGTTAATTATACTGCCGGACATATTCACAATCTTCACAACTAATTTTTCATCACTTTTTGCCTTCTGGTTTATTTCTTCATATAACATACCAGTGGAATGGAGCACCTTATTTTTATGTTTTAAAACAGTTGTGTGTTTTCTTTAGTCTGTTTTCAGTGGTTTTGATTATAATAATAAAAACTGTAAAATTTTATTTGAAATACCAGACAAGTGCACAGTTCTAATAGAATTCCATTTTTACAGTCAGACATTTATTTTGGCACAAATTTGTTGGAATGTAGGTAGCAAAGTCATTCTTACATGAAATTAATGACATTAGAGCAACAGTTATCATAAGTTTGTTTTAGTACTAGGTAGTTATCTCTTATGATATCTGTGTCTTATAGAAGATATTTGCAAATCTTAAAAATGAAAGGTCCTGGATTTTTATTCTGAGTTACAGATTTTGCCCATTAGTTTTCTGTAAAAGTACTCCTGCGACCCTTTTCTCTAAGCTCTACTGGAAGATTCATGTCGTGCCCTTGACTGCAAATATCCCCTGGATGGCACCAAGAGGAATTGATTTGCTTGAGGTCATGGCTTATAAAAGTTTGGTCTGCCATAGTGTCACATATTCCAGTTCCAGATAATTTTCCAGATGTGCCACTTGTATAACTAATTGTCTTCTCCCATGGAATGTGGAAGATAAAAAGACAAAAGCCTCCCTTCCGAGAACTTTCCCAGAGGGAAAGGAGTAGATGAATCATTCGCCTTCCTCGTAGATGTTCTCACAGCACTTGCTTGAGTGATTGCTCATCTCATGCCCCTGTTGTATCGTAGTAATCTGGGTGCCATCTCTTTCCCCCTGTATCACTGAAGGAGCATGTCCTATCACACCAGGTCCTTGTGAGCACACTGAATTATAGTTAAAATTCAATAGTACCTACTGGAACCAATTCAAGGAGCATTTTTCATTGTTTAAAGAAAATGTAGCACTTTAAAAGATGTGAATCAGCTGTAGTGTATTTTTATTGAATTGTTCAGTTACATTCAAAACCAGATTTCCTTTGATTCTACCCTGATGGGCAGCTATTATTAGAAGTACTGATAGTTCTACCCCTCAAAAATGTAGCTTATACACCTTTTCTATAAGCAGGATGGAAAAAATTAAATGCAGTGTGCTCCAGCTTTACTTCTCATTAGCCATGTGACCTTAGAAAGTCACTTCAACAAACTAGTCACTTCAACATGCAACCGGTATTTGTATGTAATGCTTCCTCTGTTGCTAATTCCTCGCTCATTTTTAAACAGTAGAAATAATACTGCACCTATCATTTTGTAACCTGTTTTGTACTTCTAATGGTACCAAATAAGTCATTTCCCTTCCTAATAAAATGTCCATTAGGTGTGTTGTTTCAAAAATAGCTGATGTATTCCTCATTGTAAAAGGAGCATGTGCTCACTGAAGAAAACTGGATATTAAATCTGTGCGATTTTAACTCATGGTCTACTTTGAAACGACAAGGGATCCAGTAAGATATTTTGGTTTTGTTACATAAAGAATTTTGTTTTTTAAAAATAAAACTAAAATCTGAAATCTTGGCTGTTTCCAGAGCAAATCTGAGGTTGTAACTAATATGTGAAATCACTTTTCCTAGTGCAGTTTGTCGTACTGGGGCGAGATGAGCACAGCCTACCTAGTGTAGTTTTGAAAAGTTAAATAGCATGGGAGAGAAAAGGTGTGTCTCTGAAATACTGATTGTGTTGCATAGAGCTGACAAATAGTTCAGTCTTAATTCTCTTGTTGCATTTATTTTTTCACTGTTTTGTAGCATACTTTGCCCTAAATAGGATTTTATGACCTTTTGGATGCTAACGTGGGAAATTTGTAGAGGTAAACAGTTTCTCACTAAACAGTCCTTTCTCATTTCATAGATCTTGAGCCTCAGTTTCCTCAGTTATAAGTGAACATAAACTAGTTCAGCACCAAACATCTTACAATTTTTGAGAATTTAAGGCTTTATGTTGCTTGAAACTGCTGTGTGTGCTGCTTTTATATGGCTCATGTGCTTTGGTAGGGTAGGATTCTGCTCCCTAGAACCACATGGACACATACATACGTCTCTTTCTTTTGTTTGTTCTTGTTCCTGGTTATCTGCCCAAAAGAGGGAGATAGGGAAGTGGATTCTTTTTTAGCCACACTATGTGCCAGGTGCTGACATTGGTATTGGGGATACTGTCATGAGTAACAGAGACATGCCATCTCATTGTTCATTGTTTTGTTTTGGAGGGAGGTTCTCACTATGTAGCCCAAACTGGCCTTGAACTCTCGTGATGATCCTCCTGCCTCAGGCTTCTGAGTGCTGAAATCACAGGCATGTGCCACCACGTTTGGCTGAGAAATGTCATCGTAAAGGTGCACATCCTAGTGGAGAGGATAGATTTAAGCAGAGTATTGTGCCGTATCTGGTAGTGGCTCCTGTGGAGATGTACAGGTCCTGTGGAAGCACTGAGGAGGATGCGCAGCTGGCTTTGGGCTATAGGAGAAAGCTTTTTGCTGTAGTTTGAAAATAGTTTGTCCCCACCAAAACTCATGTTGAAGCTTGGGCCTTGTGTAACAGTGTTGCATGGTGGTGGGGCCTTTAGGGAAGAGAAAACTGAGCTAGTGAGGTTCATGCAGAGCTGCAGCCACTTGCAGATGTTGAGGCTGTGCCCTGAGAGCGCGGAGCACTGAGGGCTTTGAGCTGTGCAGTGCTTGAGCGGGGGCAGAGGAGTCCGAGTAGAGCAGAGCTCAGAGCTCCAGATCGAAAGGCTGGGCAGCAGGCTGTTCATCCGGCTGAAGGATCACCCATGTGTGTCTGAGCCAGACTAGTGAGAGGAAAGGGAGACTCGGAAAGGTAGATGAGACGGACAGAGCGATGGACTGCTTTGTGTTGGAAGCGAAGGGTGAGACCCAGGGTTTGGCTTGGCTCGTTAGCTGGGCCGCAGAAGATGTTTGCTGATACGACGTGTTATTGCACAGGGCATAAGGGAGAGAAGATGAGTTCAGTCTTGGAAA